TGTCTCTTACTAAAAAGCATTACGCTTCTTAAAAACCCGGCATATTTCTTAACCAAAAGTGTGTTTATTATATTTGTAAACATTTTCAATACATTAATTAAGGTCTTTTCAGAAATCATTTACTCCAGGATGGATTTTGCAGGGTAGCCTTTACAAATTACTGTCTTTGCTGTTTTCCAGGGAGCTGCTAACAATAGTTGCTAGGAAACAGGAATTATGTGAGTAGCTTGGTAATGTCCATTTCACAGACAGATAATGCAGAGAGCAATCTTTTGCAATTTGGTGTCTTCTAGATATAATGGGACTATATCTCCCAAAATTCACAGTTAACCATAGCTTTGCCCATGTGGAATATGCCAACTTGGAGAAGGTTATATTGGACTTTGCATGTTCTCCCCTTAGTTCTAAAGTATTTAAGAAGCAGATTAAAGGGAACTAATTTCATAATATTTATTACACAGGAACAATCATTATAACCACTATACTGTAAGCTAATATTAAATTGCATTTCAAGTAAACTCTCAGATATGCTGGATGCTAAATATTGCAACTTTTTATCAGTTTTAAAGCATTTAAATTTATTTGCAATAAAATTATTTTCAACAGTTGCCATAAACTTGAACTGTTGGGGACGTATTATATTCAGTTTGTTTAATCACACTGATTGCTAATTTACTTCTGCATGTAGTTCAGGAAGCTGCACTGAAGGCAGAGATGGGAATTGTTACTACCTCATATACTGCTTAATTAAAATTCTCAGTAACTCTGGCCAGCATGACTGATGAGAAGAGATGCTAAAAGTTCTAGTTCAGCAATATTTAACCACCACCGCCATCACATTTTTAAAGACCCTCTATGTTGTTTCACACATATTGTGATCAATATCTAAGATTCCAGACTCCATTACCATCTGAAGCATGGCGGCTAGTGAAAAGGAAGGAGGTCTTCTCAGCAGTGATTTCTACTCTGCAAAAGGCCTTTATAAGACTTCCTTCCTTCCTTCCTTCCTTCCTTCCTTCCTTCCTTCCTTC